TAATAGGCAGGTGGGCTGCTGAACAGTCATTAAGGGGGCATGTCGCCATTGGGTGATGGATCTGCTAGGGTGTTTTGATTGGTTGTAATGGGACTGATAGGGGTGTTGATTGGAGAGCTGTAGCCGGAAGGCAGGTGTCGGAGGTACCACTGACAATGGGGCACGCTCCACGATTACGTCTATTAGTCTCACTCTTCTTATAAGCTAGTCACTAGCGCCTCATCACATCACATGCGGCACTACCCATTGAGGGACCCCACAAGCTTCTCTCTCTCTCCACTTCTCTCCCCCTCTCTCTCACTCTCTCTCTCTGTAGAGAGTTGAGGACTAGTGGGAGCCTGTAAGCAAGCTCATGAATAGTTATCGATAAGAGGTACCTCCTGTCACGTGAGAGTTTAGGTTACCAGCCTAGTGCGTAATGACGGGACCCCGTTGCCGCGCTTAATCACTCTCTGTATACAAATTGACGAAGCTTTTGTTGCTGTAAACCCGACACAGTCCCATTGTATAACACTTCATGTCGCCCGGTCACCTGATCTATAATGCCTCGCTCTCATTGGTTGGAATTTCATGATAAGGCTCCGCTATTGGAGGGGCGCACATGCAAGCTAAACACCTTGGATTGCAGGCTAAAGTTTGGTAAAGCGTTCACGGGACCTCTTCTCCTCACAAAAGAACCTTGCTAAGCATTTTTATTCACTCCTTGCAGAATAAAGGGTAATGACAGCAATTTTCCTGGATTTCTTAGCAGTGCGCTTTGTCAAGGTGTAGATTTGAGGAGTCCGTATTGTTGTCCCGCCCTCCTCTGGGTGTCATGATCTTCAACCACTTTAGAGCCTGATTGCTACCGGTAAATCATGACAGCTTCAATCATGGGTCGTTACTTCATTCGGAGGGGGAGAACGTGTTGCCTGCACCAGTCACGTGACCCAGCCACGCGTCCTCCCTCCTCTAGTAGAGGACTCTAACCTCTCTACTACTACTGAGTACTTCTCTTACTACAGTTCTACGCGAGCCCTGCTGTTACCTAGACATGCTCTTCAGTGAGCAGCCCTGCTCATTTTGCACCTCGTACCTTGAACTGTCCTCCTTGTTCCATTGCTAGTCGTCAATAACAAGACACTGTTATTGTAGTGAGTTAAAATAATTGGGAAGTAGAACAGTCCCAGCCAGGGATTGGGGCTTATAGTAATACATGTAATGTCAGCACTCCATTCTATCACTTACATTATTTGTTATATAGTAGTGTCGAAAGTAATACAACTGTACGATATATATAATACTTACTTACTTTAGTACAATATTATCAGTACCTTTTTACCTGTACTACTACTATCTACCAGCTAGCATTATGTTTGTACCGCATATCTTCTAACATTGGTACCACATATCTTCTAACATCTTGCTTCAGTTTAAAAAGCTCAATAATCTATCAGCTAGCATTATGTTTGTACCACATATCTTCTAACATCTTGCTTCAGTTTAAAAAGCTAAATAATCTACCAGCTAGCATTATATTTGTACCGCATATCTTCTAACATCTTGCTTCAGTTTAAAAAGCTAAATAATCTACCAGCTAGCATTATATTTGTACCGCATATCTTCTAACATCTTGCTTCAGTTTAAAAAGCTAAATAATTCTGCTCTATATTTAAAATATACTGCCATGTATAAGTGTCTTTTTTTCAGCGAATATTCGTTAAAAATACGGATTTGTTAGCGCCAAAATGAGAAAATTTATTATAAAATCAGAAAAAATATTATTTATTCAGTAAATAATTCACATGTTGCGCCTCCAAAACTATTGGGTGTTGGCAGTTTCTCAGGGCCCTCTTAGTTAACCTACGAAAGTACTACATCTCTCCTGGTGCACCTTAACCCCTCCTGTTCTACCTAACAATCTGCATCTATATAGTTCTCATGTCTCTCCAGGTTGCGTAGTTAGACAATCTGGCTAATAACATTTGCCAGTCGTTGCTCGGGTTCTGCCTACAAAGCAAGGGCTCTGCATTTTAACCTCGCGCTACTTCTCTCTCAGCTTTGAACTGTAAGGGCTTTTTATCCACAATCCTCTTTTTGAGTCGAACATCTTCCTTGCTAACAGCATCTTCCAAGCTGTACGATATAGGAACCGATCCCTACTGGCATCTGTACTGGTTGCTGCTCGCTTTATAATTATTACACACATTATACTACGTTATATTTAATATTACGTTCGGTTTTAATCCTAATTACTTGTTGTAGCCTGAACATTCCCACTGGAACGGTTCTAATTAACCAAGCTTCCCCATAGGTCGATTTTGTTTTCTACGATATTATATTATCAAACGGTTATAATTAACATTGACCAAGCTTCCCCATATTATATTATCAAACATTCGATCCGTCTCATCTCAGTGGCACGTACGACCATTGATAATTTCACCCCCCCCCCCCACCCTTATGTCTTTAATCATTTCTCTTGTTCAGGAAAAAACATATAAATCAATTTTTATTCTCAAAATATTCCCAGTAATTTTATTACTCTAATTATTTAATGGCAAGTTAATAATGTAGCGACTTTTATTATTATCGATTTTTGATAAAAAGCAAACGAGTATGTTGGCATATAATTTTGTAAAGTTACAATATTGAATACTCTGCCTCAATTATACTCATCACCAGCTCGACTAGCCAAAGTCATTCTGCACATCTAATTGTTAAATCTAGATTAATACATTTTTAATTGTCAGGAAACTCGTTAGGACATTAACCTTGTAAGGTATTTGTTGCACTATATTCAAAATATTACCGCACGTACGTGTTGCCTCTAAATGCTTTTTTTTGCCATGATTAATCTACAACAATGAAGTTGTTGCCACGACAACAGTGAAGCTTGGTCGCTTCTAGAGGCCTCCCTCAAACAAGTTTAAGTTTGTTTACCTGTGAGCTAAACCGACAATATGATCGAGATGAATTGGTCAGTGCAGGAAGGTGTTGTAGATATAGATTTCTTGAATAATTTATGAGAAAAACATTAGCTCTGTTATCAGCGGGTGTAGCTTGCGATAAGAAGTTCTTGTCACTTCGTGTAATGTTTGTGTATCTGCACTATACACTAACTGTAAATTGTACACATCATGAAGCCGAACCTTCGCACACTTTATTTGGCTGATGACCAGAGTCATCTAGAAGTAAAGAACTATGGAGTAAAGAACTATGGAGTAAAGAACTAGAAGTAAAGAACTAGAAGTAAAGAACTAGGAGTAAAGAACTAGAAGTAAAGAACTAGGAGTAAAGAACTAGAAGTAAAGAACTAGAAGTAAAGAACTATGGAGTAAAGAACTAGAAGTAAAGAACTAGAAGTAAAGAACTAGAAGTAAAGAACTAGAAGTAAAGAACTAGCAGTAAAGAACTATGGAGACTTCGTATCACACTGTTAGATTAGTTTGAAAATTCTTACATTTTAAACCATGCAGCGCCACCTCATTCGCAGAGCTGTCAGCGGATCAGTAAACTGAGCGAACTTTCATAACTTTGCAGAGTATGCTCATCCAAAAGAAGGGAGAAGAACTGTAGTCATTTTAGTCAGTACAGTCAGTATAGACAATGCTCCAGATTCAGGCTACAGCTCTGCCGAAGATATCTGCTCTTGCACTGAAAAGGATCCGGAGCAGTCCAGACAACGACCGAAAAGGAGGACAGAATCAGGAACCTGATAACCTGATAACCTGATAACCTGATAACCTGATAACCTGATAACCTGATAACCTGATAACCTGATAACCTGATAACCTGATAATCTGATAACCTGATAACCTGATAACCTGATAACCTGATAACCTGGTAACCTGGTAACCTGGTTACCTGATAAAGTTGTTATTAACAGAGTGAATGACGATGAGGAATTAGAAAACAACCTTTTTTGTGTTCTTGGCTAGATTGGTGCGAAAGTTGTAGTAAGAGACTGTTGTAGGGTTGGTTTGAAGTGACCCTTCACGACTTGTTAAGTTTTCTCTCTGATAGTTCAGGTGCTAAAGAAGGTCTCCCCCTCCGTGCTATCTACATTTTCTCAGACAGAAAAGTGGCGGAGAGTTTTAAAGAAGCTGTGGCAGGAGTTGAAGAACAATAAGGCGGTTCAAACTTTACTTATTTTGGACAACCTTTCAGAAAATATTCCGCCGAAGATTTAATTAGGAGATGATTTTTAAGGTTTAGCCTTACGTAACCTGTAACTTTAAAAGCATTGTGAATATGACGATAGGCTCCAGTCGCCACTCAATCTGACGCTATCTCACCAAGAGACCTTAACCAGTCCACACGTGCTCACACTTTTCACTTAAACCATCTAAAAGTTGTTAGAGACCTTGTCACATGCCTGTCAATGGGTGATTTCGCGTTGATTACCGAGGTGATTTAAAGCTTGAAATATCAAGTATAAAGCCTAATGGTGTCTATTAAGAAGTTTAAGAAGTGGGAAAACATTAAAACAGATACAACACATTCCCCCACTTAATCATTAGTCTCATGATCCGTGCCTGCATTTAAACAGCGATTTAAATTTCGTTTACCGATAACCCTTATTCTCACGAGCACACTCCACGATTGCTTCGGCACGTGCCCGCTTATATCTCACCCAGTTATATCTGCCAGCTTGTGGTACCCACCATAATTTCCCACAACACAAAGCTGCAGGTAGGCCGGGTCCCCGGTGCACCTTGAACGGCTGAGCCCTACCATCTAATTGGGATACGACACAATGCTAATTGGGGTAATTTAATTACAGAATATAGGAATATAGCACAAGCTGGCCGAGGTGGAGGTAGAACATGATCTCTGGTCATTTGGCCCTCAGTCTCACAGGTCATGTTCCTCTAGCTCACTAGAAAACACCTCACTGTTGTTTTGTTGATCCTGCATTATCTTTTAGTTTAACCCCAACCAGTATTTATAGTGACCCCCCCCCCCCCCCCCCCCCCAGTTGAACTCCTCACTCTTAACCACTGTATCTGATCAGGAGATGGACCCCCAACATACTATGATACAGTTGAACCAGCTCGCTAGCTTATCCAGCTGTCAGACCCCCTGTCCTGGTAACTCCTCCTGTCCTAAACTTGGGTGTGACAAGCACTACTCCTCACCAACACAAGTAAATAACTTCTCACTCTGTTCTGGGTCCTGTACCGTGTTCACCTCCGACATGGTGTTTCTTGGCTTCTCAAATTCAGGATCCTAGAATTTCGAGCACCGTTCAACTCACTTATTTTAATGTTGGTATTATTGTTAGTGTGTGTCTTAGCTAGGAACAGGCGGGTATTTCTGGCTCTGCCGTCCCTCAGGGTGATTATAATGTTGTTTGACGTCCCTGATGCACTTTGAGTAGTCAGTTCCATTATAACCAACTGTTTGCAAGACCCACCTGAGGTTCGACCCTCTCCGCAGATGTAATCCGTCAACCGGACAGTCACATGACAGTGACAGTTTGTAACAAGCTCGTAATGAATTGCAGTAGTACAAGTCCACCCTAGGCTGGAGTCCTAGCTTCTCCCTGATTAGTTCGTTTGTTTGTCACGTGATTCTCGGCAAATAATCTGATTGGTTGTCCTGGAGACTGGAGATATAGGGATATGATTAGTTGCCGTGGAGATGTAGGGTTGAGACTGACCGGTTATCTGTCATTGCACGTGCAACATGTCAAGCTTGTGAACTGTAAAGTAAAATTGTAATCAGGCTATCAGTCATGCGACCATCGTCGACTTTCGTGATATAAAATTATAATCTGGATATCCGATCTCAACACTAACTCGAACCTAGTAAATGGTAAAACGAAATAAAGAATATCGATTAACCTCACCAAATTACAAGTGTTCATATTTTAGTGTTTCTACGACAATTGTCCGATTAACCGTTAATTCCTGTAGTGCCTGTACGGAGAGCGTGTCGGGAAAGTCAAGGACAGTTCAGGGTCCAAGAAGAAGCAATACGAATGTAACCTGTGCTCCAAGAGCTTTGCTCAGAGCATATCACTAAAGAGACACATCAGGACACATACCGGTAAGTGCACTGCCTCCCCAACTCAGCAACGTATTTTCAAAACACTCACCAAATTTAAAGTTGCATTTGGATAATATCCTCTCCTCCAAATATACAGTGTTTATTTCCTAGTCTTGATCGAGTACAGAATATGCGTCTATGAAGTCTTACTTTTAACGCTTATGACCTGAAGAAAAAAACCGTAGTCGTTTGAGACCCCCATTACACGAATACACGTTTTTATAAACATGCTCCTCGATGCTTCATTTTTCAACTCCAGTGTCTGTGTATACATTTGCACACTTTGTTTTTTTTTAGTTTGATGCTATCGTTGTTTATCGTGAATAATCAACATGTATTTAAAAATATATTCTATGGTGCTCTAAGAGGATTAACAATCAGTTAATAACTAGCTGCTATTATTACTAATTATTATTAATTACTATTAATTATAAACATTGAGATTACTGATAACTGTGCTGCAGGTGAGAAACCGTTCCAATGTAAAGACTGCAGCAGGAGGTTCACTAACTCCTCACACCTTACCACCCACATGCGCACCCACACAGGTGAGTTGCTTTGTTATCATAACTTATAACTTATAACTAATAACTTACTCGCTAAGCTTTTGTTAGTAAGTTAGTCTGTAATTTAAATAGGTGTTAGTCGCAAGAAAGCATAAAGAGTAAAGTAAATCATATGAGGACGTCCTCTTTAGAAATAATGTAATTTAACTGAAGATTTCAACCGAGCAGTCTAAATCACTTTACACTCGAACTTCGGGATGTTTCTAAAAGGGCCCCCAACAGCTGAAACCAGCTTGAAAGAGACGTATTTTTGAAAGCTGATTCCAAATCACCCCAGAGTTAAATGCTCCCTGGCGAGTTATCTGTTTACTATAGTACAACACAGTTTACATGAGCACTACTCTGGGGGACGCTGTGTGGTTAAACTTAATAACCATCGGTCATGTTGTTACTTCTTGCATTTCACCCTTCAAATATAATAAATGTCTTCCTCATTTCGAACCATTTAAAACTCGATCATTTTAAACAAATTATGCACCGTTTTGGAGAACTTGTCGTAACTGGTTTAATAGTGGCGTTGGAGCATGTGGTCGTGTGATAGCTAGCTAATATCTATGAGTAATACTAATAGTATAGCTACCTCTCTCTCTTTATCTCCCTCTGTCTATCTCCCTCTCTCTCTCTCTCTCTCTCTCTCTCTCTCTCTCTCTCTCTCTCTCTCTCTCTCTCTCTCTCTATCTCTCTCTCTCTCTCTCTCTCTCTCTCTCTCTCTCTCTCTCTCTCTCTCTCTCTCTCTCTCTCTCTCTCTCTCTCTCTCTCTCTCTCTCTCTCTCTCTCTCTCTCTCTCTATCTCTCTCTCTCTCTCTCTCTCTCTCTCTCTCTCTCTCTCTCTCTCTCTCTCTCTCTCTCTCTCTCTCTCTCTCTCTCTCTCTCTCTCTCTCGCGTGTAGTTACAACCAACTTTGCCCATGTTAGGGTTTAATTTGATAAAGATGCTACTTCCACTGGCAAACCGTGAAAGAGTATTTCCGTAGAAAGAGTATTTTGCTAGTAGTCATGAGTTTTTCACAACTGTCTCTCATTTAAAGAATGAATGTTCCCGTAAGTAGTGTGTCTCTGTAGGGTTCCCCGTACGTAGTGTGTCTCTGTTTGTAGAGTACTTCCTACTAACCTCCCTCTCCAGGAGAAAGACCGTTCCAATGCGACATGTGCGGCAAGAAGTTCTCCCAGCACAGCGGACTCCACGTGCACATTCGCACCCACACCGGAGATAAACCTTACAAGTGTGAAATATGCGGCAAGGGCTTTCTAGGTGAGGACTACTTTATATTTTCCCTCAGGTAATTTTCCCTGTATAAGTGTCAATGTGCCACTCCTCACTGTATAAGTGCTGATGTACCCCCTCCTCAAACCCCACCCCTGTATAAGTGCTGATGTATCAATGTAAAGGGGAGAAGTTATCTAAGTAAAGTACCTCAGTAACCGATTTAGCAACTTCCTAGACCTTCTCCAGAGGACCTGACAAGCGCTTCCTTTACCCCCCCCCCCCCTGTATGATAATCATCACTCTTGTAAAATGTAAATACTACCCACTAGCTTCCATTCTCTTGTAAATACTACCCACTAGCTTCCATTCTCTTGTAAATACTACCCACTAGCTTCCATTCTCTTGATACCCGTTAGTCCTCAGAAGGTGCTTCCTGTAGGTGTTATGCTCTTATACGACTCTTTTGTCTTGGATTCGTTAAACTTTCGACTTTCCTAGTCTCTTTGTTATCAGAAGCATTATTGTGCAACATGTTATCTAAAGTGGAGCCATGTGTAACTTATGGTTTCCACTTTTTTGAGCCAAGTGGTTTGTTCTGCAGAACATACACAAAGTACCAATGATAAAGGTATAATGTCTCCTTCCCTCTCCATAATCGCAAGCTAATAACAGGAGAATGTTTTGTGGGGAGCAAACTCTCGACCATGACCTTGGGTCTACAGAGTGGTCCTAAGTCTCCATTTACAAGGCAGACTGCTTTCTGATCTGATAAAATTAGACGCTGCTCCGAATCCCCAGACAATGACAGGCTGCCTCTCCTGATCAATATTCATCACATACTTCAGTCCCGATCAGCTCAAGTCATTTTGTAGAGCCGGGTACCCGATTCTAAAGGTAATACCCCTCATTCCGCTGTCATGAGTCCGAGGTTCCATTTGAAACGTTGGAGGAAATGAAAGCCATGGTTCACTGTCTGGGCCGTCATTATCACAAAGCCTTTGTGCGATTAAGTGCATTGTGCTCCCTTAGCTTTATTTATCACATTGTTTAAGGACCGACCCTTTTCAATATTCATGGCTTGTGGCAAACGTGTTCAATTTGCCTATGAATATTGATAAATTTAACGTTTACCAAATTATACACGTAGCAGGCTAAAGAACAAGATAAGTAGAACTGCTGCATTGTAGTACAAAAGTCGCTGCATACTGCATAGTTAGGGCTCGTTTGGCAGCACTCACAGGATGGTATGGACTGTAATTCAGAATCTTAAACACCTACCTCATTACGGGGTCATTGATACACACAAATTCAACTAGTTGGGAGCTGGCGGTCATTGTCACGTAATTACTCTGAGCTCTCGTCTTCTAATTGCTACGTAAGGCCAGACACTTCACTTGCATAATTTTAGACATCACGCAAGCCCTTGTATTAAACCCTTCTTGCATTCACCCCTTAAATTGGCCTCAAGCCCATAATGAAGAAATGATTAACCACGGATTAACTACTAATTACACACGGATTAGCTTGAATTACAAGTATGTATCTTCCAGATAGATCAGCTTTGAAGCGTCACGGAGCGACCCACCAGCCTGACCGGGAATTAAAGCGTGGTAAATCAGCTCAAGCTCGGAAAGCTGCGAAGCTGGTGCCCGATGCAAACATGTTGCCTACAGTTCCTGACCTACCTGTCAGTCGGCCTGAGGGTAACCCTAACAATGAGGCAGATGATCTGGCGAATCTGCTCTGTGCCAAGACACTTCAGGTCCAGGTTAGTACTTGCTTTGTCACTTTTACTTGGTTACAGAACCATGTAAATCTTGATAGAAATGTCAATTAGTTTTCTGTAGAAAAAAAAACATGAATAATGAACTAATGGTCACAATATTTAGCCAACTTTCCCAACTCTAAAAGTGTGACTGTAACACTATTTACAACTTGTATCAAGCTCATTTAGCTCATTGAGTCTTTAAAAAGACAGTGCAAGATAAGATCAATGTTGCTTTGACTTCTATCGCCAATTATAAGAGATGTAGATCTAGTGATTATATAGTCACATTTGGATGAGTTGAGAGGGTTTTTAATCCAATAAATTGTTCAGGATTATTTTACTGCGATCGGAGCGTCTAATATGAATATCCAGAGCGATCTGCTGCAACTCCTCGTCCAGCGCTCCCTCCTCACTACCGTACAGGCTACTCCTCAGATAAAACAAGAACCTCTACTCAGCCCCTTGACTACCTCCGCCTCCTTCTCACCTATATCATCCCCCGTTCTGATGACGTCATACTCGAGCGTCACCCCACCAGCTAGCATGACGTCACCGGTACCCGTGATAATATCCCGGGCCCTGGAGGCGGGGATACCTTCCCCTCCATCAACACCAGTACCCTCCTTCCTGGTGAGCAGTCCTGAACTATCCACCTACATCAAGTCCTCTCCCGGTTCGGTGTCACCCTCACGTGACATTACCACGACAACGCCATCACGTGATAACGTTGTCATGACAACACCACTGAGGAGCACAGCCTTGTCGCCCCCCTTCTCTTTGTCCCCTGAGAGCGGACTAAACTACCAAAACACTGGCAGTCCAAACATGCCCTTTATATGCGCCGTTTCCTCGGTAACGACAATAACCGATAAAGCTGAGCTTGATATGTTTCATACGCGGACAATATGATTAAGCTAAGGACTAAAACTAGAAATAAATTTAGGTAAAACTAAAAATTTAAATTTTAAAATCGGTTAGTTGCCATTGATTGAATTTTCAATTTTGAAGTAAATAGATTTTAAAACTAAAATTAATATTGTGAACTATATGCTTTACTGACTCACTCCCTATTCTAGAATTGTAGAATTATTCTAAAACGGTCGAATAATTGAAGTGACAAGATGCGCGTTTGCACTTGAATATGATTGTACTTTGTTGTTCGATAAAGTAGAACTGGTAAATGTTCGTATACAATTTAACTGTAAGCTATACTTTTAACAAATGATAATAAATTAAATTGATTTGAATAGCTTCATTGTTTCATGAAAGCCATTCTTTTTCGTTATTAAATTATAATCAATTTTGTGACTGTTAATTATATTTGAAAAATTGTTTAATTGATTTTACTGATAAAAAGTTGCTTTCATAAAATGTTAATTTTAAATTGATATTGCGTTCACCAGAATACAAAATATAACGACAAAAAGTTGATCAGAAATAGTTCCACTTAAATTCATATTTCCTGAGATCCCAAGGTGCGAGGATAGAGCCGACAACCCCAACCCCAACCCCAACCCCAACCCCAACCCCAACCCCAACCCCAACCCCAACCCCAACCCCAACCCCAACCCCAACCCCAACCCCAACCCCAACCCCAACCCCAACCCCAACCCCAACCCCAACCCCAACCCCAACCCCAACCCTAACCCTAACCCTAACCCTAACCCTAACCCTAACCCTAACCCTAACCCTAACCCTAACCCTAACCCTAACCCTAACCCTAACCCTAACCCTAACCTAAACCCTAACCCTAACCCTAACCCTAACCCTAACCCTAACCCTAACCCTAACCTCAGTCCTCAATCTCAACCTCAACCTCAACCTCAACCTCAACCTCAACCTCAACCTCCACCTCAACCTCAACCTCAACCTCAACCTCAACCTCAACCTCAACCTCAACCTCAACCTCAACCTCAACCTCAACCTCAACCTCAACCTCAACCTCAACCTCAACCTCTGATAACCATGAAATCGGTCGCTCGATTTTTCCAATCAATAAGCTTTATTACAATTTGTAATAATATAAGCCGTGATCGAATGGAAAAAGCGAGCGACCGATTTCATTTTTGGTATCAATTTGCATTTGCGGACGGTTATTCAAATTAATATCATTTCCTTTTGTTTGGAAAAGAGAGACACTGGCAGCGGTACACTCTACCCATGATTATGGGTTTTGGTCAAATTTACCTATGTAAAATAAGGTCTTCATCATCCGTCAGGTCCAAAAAAAGGTCTACAACATTTAGTTTCTGCGGGTGTTCATGGTTTACTGGGTTGTAGGCGAAGTTAGCTAGACTCGCAACGATTTCCTGCTTAGCATGTGCAACCTCGCTTTCACAATACTCTGTCAAAAGGGCCTGAGATAATAGGGTCACATTCTTTATTTTTATTTCTGAATTCGCTCATTTTATTTGCTACTGCTAACTACCCATGGCGCCCCAGTTACTCACTGCGTTACTCACTGCGTACTGCACTTTATAGATTTGGATTCTAGAGTACGTTATATTTTATCCCGGTAGTTGTACCACAATCCGCAATCCGCATTGGATATAGCACAATGTACAACAAATGTAAGAATGGACTTGACGGTGAAGGGCACAGGGGTGGTGGTAGTGGTACTGCTACTTTCCTTACTGGGTGAATCTCATCCTGTCATTCCGCCGCATCTTCAATCAGTTTATGAACAGAAAAAGCCGGAGGTCCTCAGTTAATAGTAATACTTTCCGAAAACTAAAAGCGTGGACAGTGAATACTAGGGCGGATTTCAATTTCATGATACTCACGAATATGGACACGAGGGATGATGATTAATCTACACTCGACTATTTATATCATAATCATATGTTTCTCTTCTATTCTCTCATCATGACTTACTTTCTCCCAATTCTTCTCTCCACGACTAGGTCCATGAACACTGTACTCCCCCTAGATTATAATATTCATTCCTCTCTACTCCTTGACAGCCCACGTTATCTTATACCATTTCTTGCTTGCTCCCACATCAAACTTTTCTTTTTAATTATCTCCTCTTGGTTTATAAGAAATGTTCTTCTCCCTGGTAAGCTGAATAGAGCCAAGTATTCCAGCCGCCTCAGGCGTCTAGTCTCTTTATTCATTCTTTGGGTTTTCTCTCTTAACTTTCTTTTGATAACTCTTGTTAATCCTTCTATGCTTAATCCAGGTCCCAACTCCCTATCTGTACTCTACCAAAATGTCCAAGGTCTTATTCCTTTCAGTAACCTAAGCTCCTCCCATCCCCTTCTTGATGGTAATAAGATTTCCGAACTTCAATCCTTTGCTAACATAGAGCAGCCTGACATAATTGCCCTAAATGAGACTTGGCTCAAAAATTCTATTTCTAGCAACGAAATCTTTCCTTCTTCTCAATATGAAATCTTCCGCAATGACCGCACGAGAAAGACTCATCCTCAAGATCCTAATAACCCTAAAAAGTTTAGGGAAAATGGAGGTGGTGTTCTTTTGGCTGTTCGGTCTGATCTCGATGCCACTACAACCCGACTACCAGTTAGCCTAGGTGCAGAAATGCTTGCCGTTAAAATTGCTTTTCCTAACAAAGAGAGTATTGTAATCTGTACTTGTTATAGAGTTGGAACTCTTGGGTTACCTAATCATGATGTCATAGTTAGTTATATTCGCAAGCTAGTTTCCAAAAAGAATCCCCCTAAAATCTATGTTATTGGTGATTTTAATCTCCCCCACACAGACTGGCTATCTTCATCCAGTACCGTACCTATTGAGCAATCCTTCATAGATTCTTTCAGTGATCTTTCTCTCTCCCAGTTGATCACATCACCCACCCATAAAAGTGGTAATACATTAGACATTCTTCTCAGCAATTATGATAACACAATCGATAACTTGAATGTCTGTGATCCTCATTCTGTGTGCAAATCTGATCATTTTCCTGTCACTTTTTCAATTAAAAGCTCCTTTTCCCGCAAGAAAACTCCTAAACGTAAAATCTATAATTATAAGAAAGCAAACTGGGACATTATTAATCGTGAATTATGCTCGATTAATTGGCAAGTCCTAGAATGCCTAGATCCTGATTCGTCTTGGAAGTTAGTTAAAGACTGCATTATGAATTTAGTTGATATACATATTCCTAAAGTAACTATTAAATCAGAGTTTCAACCCCCGTGGTTCGATAGTGAACTTTTTTCTTCATGCCGTAAAAAAGATAGACTCAGAGCTAAATTTAAAATTTCTGGTTCTATTTCTGATGAGTTAAAGTTTGTTACTAGCCGTAAAGATTTTAAGAGGCTTTCATCAGCCAAAATAAGAGATAATCTTTTCAATAGTGATGATCCAGCGCTTATAACTAAGAAGTTTTGGTCACATGTTAAGTATAAATCTAACTCCTGCCGTATTCCTAATTGTGTTAGTTATTCTGGACAGCTTCGGTTCAAACCCAAAGCTCAAGCTGAACTTTTCAATTCTTTCTTTTATAACCAGTTTTCGGATCCTTCACTTTATGACACTGACATCTCCTATGTCAATGATGTTGATTTTGATATTGACTTCGATCATCGGGATGTTCGTAAGCTTCTTTCAAATATTAATTCAAATAAAGCCCAGGGACCAGATGGCATACACGGTAAAATTCTCAAAAATTGTTCCGTAGGTTTAGCTTACCCTCTAACATGCATTTTTCGTGGATCTTACAACAGCGGCTACATTCCACAAGAATGGAAACTTGCAAATGTTGTCCCAATATTTAAGAAAGGTAAGAAAAGCGAGGTTGAAAACTATAGACCAATATCCCTTACTTGTTTAGTAATGAAAGTTTTTGAGCGCATTGTTAAACGTAAACTGCTTTCTTTGACAAGTACCCTTCTTGATCCCAGGCAGCATGGTTTTCTAGAGCACAAGTCATGCACAACCAATATGGTTGACTTTTGTGATAGCCTGGCATTGTCTCTTAACGAAAACATTATCAATCATGTTGTGTATTTTGATTTTGCTAAGGCATTTGATTCTGTAAATCATGATATCCTTCTTCATAAGCTAAAGACCTTATATAACATTGATGGCACACTTCTCAAATTTCTTACCAATTACCTTCAAGGCCGTTACCAAAGAGTGGTTATTGGTAATGAGATGTCATCTACCCTCTCAGTTAATTCTGGTGTCCCCCAGGGCTCTATTCTTGGTCCCTTACTTTTTGTATTGTTTATCAATGATATTCCTCTTGGCCTTTCGGATAATACTGATATTGTTTTGTATGCCGATGATACAAAAATCTGGCGTAAAATACATTCATCTTCTGATAATACTAATTTACAAATGGATATAGACTATCTCTCTGACTGGGCACTAAGAAACAAAATGCGATTCCATCCAGCAAAATGTAAAGTGCTTATTGTTTCAGGAAAACCATCTTTATCTCCTCCATTCGCATATAATCTTGATGGCTCTCCTCTTGTGTATGTAGAGTTAGAAAAAGATCTTGGAGTCGATGTTACTCCTAAGCTAAGTTGGAATAGTCAGTGCGACAGAATTTATACTAAGGCCTGCCAACAACTTGGTATGGTCAGAAGAGATGGCCATATTGTCATTGGTCAGAAACGTCGCCGGGCGCTTTACCTCTCCTTGGTTCGTAGCCAATTCGAAAATTGTTCCATAATCTGGCGCCCTTGTAATAAATCACTTAGTGATAAATTAGAAAGTCTCCAAAAGAGAGCTATTAAATGGATTCTGTCTGAAGAGGGCCGCAGTTATCCACCTGAGCAATATGTCAAAAAGTGCAAGCTTGTCGATATTCTTCCTTTGTCTCAAAAGTTTGACTTGAATGATCTTATTTTTTTCCACAAAGTTCTTAACAATTTAATTCCTGTATCGCTGCCTCACTATCTCTCTTTATATCAGGGCACTTCTCGACTAAGACGTTGCCACCTCGACAGTATGTCTATTGTGTCATCAATTTTACCTAAGTTAAGTCAGAATTCACACACCACATGTACCTCAAATAGCCCACTGGCAAAATCATTTTTCTACAGAACCCATATACTGTGGAATGGACTCCCTTTACAGGTAAGACAGATTGTTTCTACTAGTCTTTTCAAAGCTGAGGTCACTAAGCATCTATGGAAATGTTTATTGGATAGTGAAACAACAGTCTAGCCTAGTCTCTTTGCTCCCCATATTATTATTATTTTTGTTTTATTAATTTTTTTATCTACCTTCCTATACTTTCAACATCATATCACACTTCACCCGCACACCTTCTCACACATTAATGACCATTTCAGACCTGTATCTAATGTATCTGGAATTTGACGTATTGAAATTCCAATTTTGACTCTATATCCACAGTTATTCACCATGGAT